CCACAAAACACACCACAAGCCTCACCGAACGTCTCCTTGCTACCGCAATCTCGCCCACAGGAAGCCGCGACCGTGTGGCAGCCGGGAAAATGGCCGTGGAACTGGTTCATAAGTAGAGGCGGAGTTCGCATGTCAGGGTAAATTTTTGGGGCCGGAGCTGGTCGTATCTTGAAAAATTCGTAAGGAGGGGCATAACTAGAGGTACCACTGTATTTCTAATTTTTAGATAGCTAGAAGGCTTTCTAAGCACAATACAAAGCAGTGGTGACCTATAAATCTCTACATGAATTGGTATGTACCTGAAAAAAACACTTTTCATTTATCTGAATCTTCCATTTTCATTGAATGCTCTTTCTAGATCTTCCTTGTATATGAAGTTAGGCAAATAAGACCAAAGGATAAAGTCCTTTTGGTCATGCCATCAGATGTGTGAAATGCCCCCATCTGGAAAACTTGCTGCAGGTAGATGTTGATTTGTTCTTTTAGTGCCACATGAATACCCCATTGATTTTATTAGATTTTTCTGTTGTTTGTGTTTGAAAGCTATTTCTGATCACGCCTTTATCTGCTGCACTGAATTGTACTGATCTGTATGACTGCTGCTTCTATGATTTCTCAGGTTTAACCATGAATTAAATCTGTTGATGTAAATCGTTTAATATGCATGTACAGCTTCCATTTTTTACACTGCAGCCATTCAATACGCTTTCTTAGATATCATTAGCAATCATTATATTCCCTGGTTGCCCTGGCAACTTGTCTCCCTGTATACTTTTTCCCCCTACCTTTATGCCTTTGAAAGCCCACCTGACATTTCATCATACAGCTTTTTGTTTCATGTTTCATTTAGTCCATGAGGGGGGGGAAAAAAAGGTTTCTGCCACTATTTAAGAAAAGGTAAAGTAAAAGTAAAATTACTAACAAAAAACTTGTTGGGACTATAAATCATTAAGTGAACATTTCCCTGGCTTATATTTTTAACATTTTCAACATTTATTCAAAGCCAGTAATTGGTTCAAACTTTGTTCTTTACCCCTTTCTAATTTTTCTAGATTCTACTGGAAAGGTACGTTACAAATGTGAAGTGAAAAAAAAGTGGCAAGATCAATTATTTAAAAAGATGTTCATAAACCCACGTTTGCTTTTTAGAAACCCTTTCTCTTTCTCTCAAGCTGACAGAAAATGCTTTTGGAGACAGCTAAAATGTCAGATTTAGTATAGCATGGGGTTTTTTTGTATGCGGTGGAAAAGGAGAAGAACTAAAGAAAAAAGTCCATGGCTGTCCTCTAAAGAGTATAAATTTAATCACTTTACCATCAGCAGCATATCCATCACACTCCTTTCCCACATAATACCTACAATATAGATTTAACCCCCATATCTCAAGTTAATATTGTCACTTACTTGCACAGGTGCCATCTGGCATGAGCATGTACCCATTTAAACAGTAGCATTTGTAGCTTCCATGTGTGTTCATGCATCTGTGTTCACAAATATGTGGTTTTAATCCACATTCATTGATATCTGCAAAAATCATTGGAATAATTGAGTTTGGAGATCTTTGGCGGAAAAGAAATATACATTGTGTTGTTATTTGTGACTTAAATTTCTCATCAGAAAAAGTTACTAATATGTTTAACATTACAAACAGGCTAGTATAATTGCTTATTCAGGAAATATATGAAAAATAAAATCAAGGAATAATTTATTTTAAATGGTAAGCTTGGCGATCTTGATTTAAAATGCCTATTTGCATTAATAAAATGTCATTGTGGATAATAGATATGTATTTGACAGATCTCTTTGCAGAGAGATTCAGCCAAGGCTATGAATGTGTTTATGTCTCTCTTTCCATAGTCAATGGAATAGAAGATCTCAAATTTAATGCTATTTTGAAGATTCTATATCTGATCTTCTGAAGAAAAAAATGTTTCTTTGATTAAAACTAGATGTGAAGAACTCAGTATAATGACACTGAAGCTTTAGGAATATAATAGTTTAGCTGATTTAAACACATATCCCAAATACACACATTCAGACACCTATGTCTATATTTATATCTCTATATAATTTTACAGTATTTCTAGCCCACCCTTATCTTTATGGACACTGTACAGTTCACAGCACTGCAAAAATAAAGACAATTTAAGGATATTAAAGCAAAACATTGTGGACCAAAAGAAGATTGCACATATATCTATAATGGTGCCTACCATCAG